GGCAGAATTTTTTGTTTGTTTGTTTTTGAGTTAGCGTCTTACGCTTGTCACCCAGGCTGGAGTGCAGTGTCATACTCAAGGCAACCACAGCCTCAACCTGCTGGGCTTAGGCAATTCCTCTGCCTCAGTCTTCCAAGTAACTGGAAGTACAGACACATGCCACCACATCCAGCTAGTTTTTGTGTTCTATTGTAGAGATGAGGTCTCACCAAGTTGCCCAGGCTGGTCTCAAAGCCCTGGACTCAGGCAATCCTCTTGCCTTGGCCTCCCAAAGTGCTGGGATTACAGGCTAAGCCACCATGCCTGGCCTGAGTTTTCTAAAACCTCAGAACCACATCTATACTGCTAATTGATGTGCCTCTTTTATCATTAACATTAACAACAGCAAAACCGATTTGCCCAACCTGCGCTATGAGACTATGGGCAGCGGTCGGCTGTCACATCCAGGGAAGACTGGGCCCTGCTATTAGGCATAGGTGTCTGTCACTCCTGCCCTCAGCAGAAGTCGTTGAGGTTGACATCAGAGATTCCTCTCGATCCCGTGATCCTGAGATTCCATGGGCATATGTAAGAGTGTTTGAATCCACGTGTCCTGCACTGCCCCAGGATTCCAGGATTCTGAAACTCTCCATTGCCTGAACATGCACCCCTCGGTGACCCGGTGCCCCAGTGCCCCATTCCCTGGCCACAGCAGCTCCTTTCCCCACCCAGGCTCACCTTCTGAGGAGTTGTGAGGGGCACGCTGGTCTTGCCCTCAGCACTGACAGTTACGTTCCCAGGAATGACAATGGGGTCAGGTTCCAGAGTCAGGCTTTTGATCACCGCAGGGTCCTTCTCCTCATCACAGTTATCCCAAGAAAAGTTGCTTAGCAGGGATGACTGGGGACAACCAGACAGCAAGGAAAGAGAAGAAAAGAACAGTTAACAAAATCAACTATCATAGGTCAGAAGAATCACCAGAACGAGCTCCTGGCAGTGTGACCCTGACGGTGTGACCCTGGTGGTGTGCACTTGGCGATGTGACCCTGGCAGCGGGACCCTGAGCAAGGGAGCTCCCTCCCTGAGCCTCACCTGCAACTCCACACCTGCAACCTGGGATAACACATGTCCTAGCCATTTTATAGGCAAGACTAAACTAAAAGACTCAGAACACATAATCTCCCAAAAGTGTGCTGTGCACTGTACAGCACAGTAGAACAGACTGGAACTTCAAACTAAGAGACCCATTTTATCTGCCCTTGGTGGGTACCTTCTCTATCTCCTCCTCCCCACTGCTCCAATCCAGCCAGCCTTGGGGTCCCCTAAAGGTCAAGCTCCCATAGGGATCACCTTGCAGCTCGTGCCCAGGGCCCCATCACATGCCACCCCGTGCCCAATCCCAGGCCGGGAGCAATGGAAAACTAAACACAGCAAGGAACCTAACAGCATCTAACACCCCCGCCCCCCGCAAAGGGCAGGCAGTAAACCAGAAGGGAACAGGACCCATGTGAGAGCCTCAGTGGGTCATTTGTTGATGACGAATCCCCAGTGAAAAAAATTCCTCCAACCCCAAGCGGAGCTTGCTTCTTCCCACCCCACTGCTCATGCCATGTCACTGTGGTCACCCTCCATCCCCTGTGGGTTGCTAGGTCTGTTCTTCCTCCACATCCCCAAGACTCCAGACTACACACCACTCTGTCCAATGTGTGACCCCCACACCCACTCCTGCAGGGCCCTGACAGCCCGTCTCAGGATCGCGAATACTTCCTGCACATGCAGACACTCTGCCCACCCACCCACACCTTTCCCAGCCCCTGGAGGCCACCTTCTAGAGACCACAGGTACACCCATCATCTACATCCAGTCTCAGAAAGAAAACCTGCCAGTCTCACCCCTCCAAGGCAACCCCATCTTCAACACACCCACCACTGACTGGCTGCAGAGGGGACACCTAATCCCAGCCAGGCTGACAGATTCTCTCTGCTTAATGCTGGAAGTCTGGTGGCTCACGCCTGTAATTCCAGCACTTTGGGAGGCTGGGGCAAGAGGATTGCTTGAGCCCAGGAGTTAGAGGCCAGTCTTGGCAACATAGTGAGACCTCATCTCTACAAAAAATGTAAAAATTAGCTGGGGTATAGTGATGCATGATTGTAGTCCCAGATACTCAGGAGGCTGAGGCAGAAGGATCACCTGAGCGCAGGAGACCCAGGCAGCAGTGACCTGTGAGCATGCCACTGCACTCTAGCCTAGGTGACAAAGTGAGGCCCTGACTCAAAAAAAGAAAGAAAAAAAGGCGCAAGAGGTTGAGAACATGAGGCTTTGTGCTGTCACCAGGCCATACATTTTAGGGCAGGGCCGGAGCACTTAGACTGTGACCTAGGACCGCACTCAAGTTGATGAGGTCACAAGGCTAAGTAAGGGCTCTTAGGACTAAACTGAAAGGTTCAGAAGACATAATCTCCCAAAAGTGTGCTGTGCGCTGTTCAGAACAGTACAACAGACGGGAACTTCAAACCAGGAGACCCACTTTACCTGTGGGAAGGGGAATGATAGAGTCACGCTCCCCCGCCTAGAAAAGCTTATGGGTGCCAGGCAAGGGCATAGATTTGGAGTGAGACCCTGATAAACGAGAGCATCAGTCAGACACAACTGGGTGGAAACCGGGGCCCAGCCGCATTTACCCTGTGACTTTACAGGCCAGTTACCCTTGGAGAACCTTGGTTTCCAGTCTTCTCATTGGAGGCAGATCAACCTCCTCTCAAGGATGTTGCAAGGGCGACAGCGCGTGTGTAGGACTCACACCCCACAACAGGCATACGCAGAGCTTGCTCACTGCAGACATCAGCCTCCGCCTCCTGCTCGCCCTTCCAAGAGACGCCTTGACTGCCTGTAATACACCTCTCTCTGCTTGAGCTGCTTGAAATGGGTTCCTGTCCCTTGGAATGAAAGGTCGTGCCGTGACCTTTCAAATGTTTCCTTCGACATTCATCCTACAAATATTGATGGAGCAAGGATGACAGGCTGGGCTGGGCGCTGTGTCAACAGTGGAGAAGCCAGGCACGGCCATGCCCTGGCTTCAGGAGCTGCAGTCTAGAGCAAATACACCCCTTCGACCGTGAGTTCCTCAAAGGAAGTGAGCAGAGGAACAGAGGACTCTCTTAAACAGGGCGGTGGGGAAGTGACACTTAGGCTCCTGCAGGATGAGGAGTCGGCTACATAAGAGAGAAAGAATGTTCCAGGCGGAGGGAACACAGGCAAAGGCCCTGAGATGCAAAGCAGCCTAGGTGCTCCAGGCACTGCGGGAAAACCACGGACAGGACATAGTGGAGGAGGGACGGGGAGGCTGGCAGGGCCTCTTCATGCAGGACCTTGAGGCCATCATCAGGAGGCTGCATTTCCTGTGAGTGCAGTGGACCCCCTCAGAGAGGGTGCCATGCCCTGATTTGTGGCTGTTTATAGACTGGAGAGAGACATGCTGGAAGAGGAGAGGTCAGATAGGAGGCCACTGCCAGGTGAAAGACCGCTTAGACTTAAGCACATAGAGGGCCAGAGGTAGGTAGGACGAACCATTTTAGGGGGCTGCCTTCACGGATTTTCAGGCAGCCTGACACACACAGAGGCCTGATTCAGGCAGGGAAGTGTCCAGAGTGTCCCACAGAAGCTGGAGAATTCCCTCCCCTTCCTAGGCCCCCCTTCCCCAGACCTGGGGGAGACAGAACAAGGCAGCTTCCCAAGGGTATATTGCCTGGCTAGCTGCTTCTGCAGGTGAATACTGCCACAGATTTCAGGCTCATGGGGAGAGGAGTATGATGGATCGACAGGAGCCAACAGGGCCAGGCCAGGCACAGGACATCCGCCATCCCCAGCCTGGGCCAGTGCGGAAAGAGGCAGCCAACGGCAGAGGGAAGGCATGGCTCTGAAGGCGGACAGACAGCGTAAATGACAGTTGTGAGCGACAATCACAGCTCAGCCCTCTCACTGGCTGAGACCAGGCTAAGTTAACCCCCCAAGGTTCCATTTCCTTGTCTATTAAACACGCTCCAGCCGGGCTTGGTGGCTCAGCCTATAATCCCACGCCTTTGGGAGGCTGAGGTGAGTGGATTGCCTGAGCCCGCGGGTTTGAGACCCGCCTGGGCAGCGAGACCTCATCTCTACAATAAATCAAAAAATCACCCGGGCGTGGTAGCGCATGCCTGTAATTCCGGCTACTCGGAAGGCTGAGGCGGAAGGATTGCCGGAGCCCAGCAGGTCGAGGCTGCGGTGGCCAGGAGCGGCCACTGCACTCCAGTCTGGGTGACAGAGTGAGACTCCAACTCAAAAAAACAAATAAATAAATAAATAAATAAACAAACACGCTCCACTGTATCTTCCCATGGGGCTGTTTGAGGGTAAGACATCTGTATACAGAAAGTAAAGAGCTCGGCTCTTCAAGACTGTCACACTTGTGAAAACAAGGAAAGACTGAGAAACTGTCATGGGCCAGAGAGTAGGGACAATAACGACATGTTGCCATGACAACAGTGGCAACACGGTACCCTGGATTGAATCCCAGCACAGAAAGAGGCCAAGAGTGGGAAAATTGGTGAAGTTTAGCTGACAGTAATACACCATGGTGGGTGTCTGAGTTTTGGCAAATATACAATAGTAGTATAAGATGCTAACGGGGGAGACTGGGTCAGGAGCACATGGAACTCTATTATTACCTTTGTAACTTCTCTGTAAACCTAAAATTATTTCAAAATTAAAAGTTTGTGGTTGAGGGTGGTGGCTTATGCCTGTAATCTCAGCTTGTCAGACCGAGGCGGGAGGATCGTTTGAGCCCAGGAATTCAAAACCAGCCTAGACAAAATAGCCAAACCTCGTCTCTACAAAAATAAAATTAGTCAAGTATGGTGGCATACACCTGTAGTCTCTGTTACCCAGAAAGCTGAGGCGAAAGGATCACCTGTGCCCAAGAGATCAAGCCCGTGGTGAGTCGTAATTGTGCCACTGCACTCCAACTGGGATGATAGAGTGAGACACTGACTTAAAAAAAACCAAAAAGTTTGTTAGGCTGGAGGTGGTGGCTCATGCCTGTAATCCTAGCACTTTGGAAGGCCAAGGCAAGAGGATCGTTTGTGCCCAGGAGTTCAAGACCAGCCTGGGCAACATAGCAAGACCCCATCTCCATAAATAAAAATCTAAAAGTTTGTTAGAAAAAAAGCACATGGCTCAACGCATAGCACACAGCATGTGTATAATGAATGACAATCATTATACAGCATCAGAGTCTATTAAGCACCTATTATATGCCCATCGCCCCAGCACAAGTCTAAACTTCCTCCCTATTATCTAATGCTCACCACAGCCCAGAGTTACAAGACCAGTTAATACTAGAAGAGGAACTGAAATTTAGGTTTCCTGATGCTCAAACACTCACTCAACCCACAGCCTTTAGCTAGCCTATGGGCTCTGAATCACATGAGTCTCCTGAGAAGATGCCAGTGCTGTGTGATTTGGGGTGACCTCTGTGATACACCAGAGCCTCTCCAAAACTGCCAACCTAAGGCCCTCTCGCCCGGGATGGCATCCATCACCAAAGGCACACAGGAGAACTGAACCCAGGGCAAGCTGACGGCCTCTAGCCAGGCTCCACCTCACAGCGGTCAGCTGGGAGCCAAGAGAAACATTCTCAACCTACACTCAGAGACAAGGTATAATCCTCCAGGCAAAGGTCCTGCTACTGCATTCAACAAGAGAACTCCGGCCTCAGGGGAGGGTGTGACCAAGAGCACAGGTTTATAAGGTTTTGTTGGAGATTTTCAAGCTTTGCTGTCCATGAAAGCATTCCTTCACCGACAACTATCTGAGATGCAGGCTGGCATCTGACATCCATCTTACAGATGTGGAGACCAAAGCTT